CCGGTCCAGACACTGGTCCGGAAGACAGTCCGGAAGTGTTCGGTGTCCGGGTCCGCGGTTACCATGGTATAGACTAAAAAAGTCTGAATGCAATAACTGTCAAGAATGCAGAACCATTGCCCCGCATAGGCGATCTGTTAGATCGGGGGCAAGGATGCAAGTATTTTACTAAGATAGACTTGAAGTCAGGGAACCATCTGATAGAGTTCTACCCTGATGACCACTATAAGACGACATCCGCACTAGATATGACCATTATGAGTTTATAGTGATGCCCTTTGGACTAACTAATGCACCAGCCACATTTCAGCGCTGTATGAATGACTTGTTTAGATCGTGGCTACATATATTCATCGTAGTGTATTTAGACGCTATCCTAATTTTTAGCAAGTCCCTCCAAGAACATGAGGGTCATCTAAGGCAGATCTTGGAGAGGCTGAGAGAAGTCAACTTCAAGATCAATGCAAAAATGTGTGAGTGGGCCAAGATAGAAGTCCTCTACTTGGGCCATGTGTTGGATGGAGATGGCATCAGGCCATAGGATGGCAAGATAGCAGCGATTAGAGACTGTCCAATTCCTTGCACTCTGACTAAGTTGCGATCGTTTTTAGGACTGGTCAACTACTACAGAAAGTTTGTAAGAAACTTCTTTGCTGTCGCTGCTCCCCTTCGCAGACTCCTAAAGAAGGAAGCGATCTGGAAGTGGGACAAAGATTGGACCTCGGCCTTAAAGAAATTAAGAAGGCCTTGGTAGAATATCATGTCCCCAAGGTGGCTGATGCTTCATTACCCTTCGTCATCACGACAGATGCAAGCCAATGTGGCATAGGCGTTGTGTTACAGCAGAATGACGACGATGGCTATAGACCCGTAGAGTTCATGTCAGCTAGGCTTCCTTCTGATAAAGTAGCAGCCTCGACGTATGAGAGAGAACTCTACGCTCTCAAACAGGCATTAGATCATTGGAGACATTACCTGCTTGGGAGACATTGATTCTGGTTCAGCCATTCAACATTATTATTATTATTTGTTGTGAATAAGGAGGGGAGGAGAAAAGGAAGACGAATGTGACGGGGCTGAGGTAGAGCAGCGAGGCTGGGAGAGAGAGGGAGAGTGAGAGCTCACACACACGCTCACTCAGCTCAACGCAGACTCGACACGACTTGATGGACGCAGACACAAAGTGCCAAAGTCGCAATCTTGGATTCTGAACACAATGTCGCAGCAAGTCACACTGAAGCACAAGCACTGAGGCCGAAAACTGAACGCCCGAACTGGGCTTGAGTCCGGTCTCAAGTACGGGACTCAAGTTGAGTCCCGAGGGCAGAAGTGCAATTTGCCTCGGGGCTGAACTCAAAATCGAAGGTCTGAGCCTGGGCGCCAGAATGCCGAATGGCACCAAGTATCGAAATCCGAAAGTGCCAGAGGAGGAATTTGAGAACGGGCGCCAACTGCAGAGGGCGCCAACAGTCAGGAACCAGAGATCAGGAACTCAAAAATGAAAATAGCAGCCTTGTGGGTGGTAACCCGCGGACCAGGGATCGAGCCCTGGCTAAGTCTGTAACAAGGAGAGTGGTTGGCGAGGAGGAAGGGAATTATCATTGGTCTTTGCTGGTGTACATCTTCGTCTTCTTCTTTCTTTCTTCTTCTTCCTCTTCTTTCCCTCTCTCTCCTCTCAAGTTCATTCATTTCTTTTTGCAATTGGACGACATCGTTCTTTCTCATGAATGTGTACTTCGAAATTGGCCAGGATCTTAACATCTCCGGAGAGAGAGGCTTCTTCTTCATCTTGGTTGCTGGCGCTACTGCCCATGATGGGCGCTGCCTCGGTAGATGAGGATTTGGGTGATTGCTGAGTGGGCGTTTGGCTGGAGGTTATAGCGCTAGAGGTCTGCAGGGCCGAGTGGCTGGGCGCTGGGTTGGATTACCGTTGAGGTGGAGGAAGGAGGAAGAAGAAGTCTCCATTATTTTGGTTGAAAATTTGTTTTAATTTCTTCATGGTTGTTTAAACACGGTTGTGATTCAATTCTAATTTTGAATTTGGAGTTTCGTGTTGCTGATTGAGTTGAGGAGAGATGGTCATCAACAGCATTGAGGAAATTCAATTCTAAATTCTAATTTTGGATTTGGAGCTTCCGTTGTGTATATCTCATTGTCTGGCTTGGTGGGGATTTCTTTATCCAGGGCTACTTCTTAATTGCATGCGTGCATGGGAATGTGTGAGTTGGCTCCGGATTCTGTTTCAATCAGTTACATAACATGCCCATGTCCAGTACAGGGGCATATGCATAATTTTGGGGTATTTCGCGATACCCCCATGTTTTAGGGGTATCTGACGAAATAGCCCAACTTTTAAGTGCATTTCAAAAAAATTTCCCCAGATCTTAAATCATCGAAATTTACCCTCATGTATTATGTAGGGTTGCTGATGATGGGCGCTGGACCCATTTCCAGCTTAGTGCGGACTTGTTCCCCTAAGCCAAAGCCAGGTAAGAGAATGGTCCGGTATCATCATTGGATATTCAATTCATAATCACAGCCGTGGGCACTCAGCCTGTTCTTTTTTTTCCCCCTCTTTCCAAGGACCACTATTGAGGGGTAAAAAAAACAAACAAAATAAATGAAAGATGGGGGGAACATACCTCTGGATAGCGCCGGAGCAATGAGCGAAACTGCCGAATCGCTGCCGCTTTTTGGCCTACCTCGTAGAGAGCCTGCAGACCCATATTGAAAGAGGAGAGAATCAGGGACATGTATGAAATTTGTCAGAGATTACTGTCAAAAGACTCAAAGGTCGTTCAGTGGAAAGCCGAAAACCAAACACACTGTTATCAGCATGACTCTTTTTTCACCTTTCTTTTTTATCCTACTCTGCGGAGTGGCGCTTTAACAGTTCTGCCCAGGGCTTGGTCCCTGGGCCTCAGACTGAGTACTACTGCTTTCCCCTGAAGACATGGTCATTATAGCCATAATTTGAGCAATTTTCAGGCTAGTACAGTGATAACAACTGTTCATTCTTTTCAGGGGAAAGATGGTAGACATTGGACCTTGCTCCACTACACAACACTCCACAGAGTCTACATGCATTTGGACGGTTTCTGGACCAGGTGCATTGGGACGAGTCCAACACTTTTGAATGTATCAGGTCTGTAAATCTACCCAAACGCATGTCGAGTGTTGAGTAGTGGAGCAAGGCCCATTATCTTTCCAACATTTTCCCCTCTGACACTGTCTTCTTCCAGACATACCCCGAAGACAAGCCTACTGTCTTTGCCCGGCTACACTGTACCCTCATCATGACTGTATTCAAGCTATCTTTAGGGACCTATACGTTCATGATCAGAATGTGTTGTATTTGGGTGACAACAGTAACCCTTAGGCTGCTCCCAGTTGTGTGTGCCCTGTCACACATGTCCATGGCATTGTACAAAAATGGTGATGTACTGTATGTAAGCTTCACCTCAAGTTTGCTGCTGGAGCCTTCATTGATGAGCCCAATCAATTGCCGAATTGGAGTCAGAGTGTGTTGTCATATGCGCTATACACTCAAAAAAAGCATGACTGTGCCAGACTGTTTCGTACGACTTTCACCGACTCATCAGGAGGTTGAACCGAGAGAGAGAGAGAGAGAGAGAGAGAGAGAGAGAGAGAGAGTGTGTGTGTGTGTGTGTGTGTGTGTGTGTGTGTGTGTGTGATGGTGTGTGATGGTGTGTGATGGTGTGTGTGTGTGTG